ATATTATCTTGTTCTTCAAAAGATGTAAACCAAATGCAGTTATGAAGCGCATACATAACATAACTAAGTCAAGAAATGACTGCACATACAATACTGTGTAGAAGGAATACTTTATCTTCCCTGTGTATGGGGGGGGGGGGGGGGGGGGGCCATAATTAATTTGCTAACTTATAATTTAGAAAAAGCTATGGCTTTTTCCATCACTTCACAACTCAACCAGGGGGGCAAAATTTATCCTCCTAATGGTCAACTTTGGAACATAAATAATTTAAAATTCATAAGACAGATTTTAAACATGTTCATACACACTGATTACAGTAACTAAAAATCAAAACATAGTCACAGACAAGATAAGCCCCCAGCACTAGCGAAAAAGATAAGCAAATAGAATTGTCTAACTACAGAAAGCAAAACATAAGTACTGCTAAAGGTGTTAATTCAGGCTTACCCTTTCATATGTTTCATCAAGAATTATTGCTCCAGTTACAGGAACTCGAACCTTATAGGATGTGAAGTCCTTGAAAATATCATCTATATGAGCCACGTAAGGCTTCAAAACATCACAACTATTGAACACTGCTATATGTTAAGGAAAATGGCATCTAATATATAAATTGATATGGAAAGAATGTGACAACAAAAATAAACTGCCATGATGACTAGTTTCATTTTAGGTAAAGCCTAGACAACTCTGCCTAATGATGTCCAAGAAGTAAATCATAAACACCTGGTAAAAGAACACAATTGAAGAACATGGTTCTAATACTACATTGTCTTAATAATAATTATCATTGTCAATGTGCATCCACGCACAACCAAGCATGTGATGTGAACAAGGCTAACAAGCTGAGAATAAGCACAGTCCTCGTTGATGAACTCAAAAGCAACAATACATAGGATTTTATGAAGGGAAAACGGGGTAATGGGGCAAAGGGAATCCAAATGGGAGCCTGTAAACATCTTTTTGTGCCATATCATGCAGAGAAATTTTCCACAAGCAGTTTTGCAAATGTTCAATGTTATGTTACATTCAGTACTAGAAGACTAGGTGGAAATAAAAGAAAGAGAATAATTTAGATTCTCCCTTTTTACCAAGATTTGGTTCATATATTACAAGGAATAGCATGGGAGAATAATAGAACGTGTCAATCATGAGGAGCAACTAATTTTTTAACCAAATTAAAGGTTTTAAATTCTGAGTAAGGAATAGACATGATTCACAGCAGAACATTATTGCATTGTTTCATCTATGGACAATATATTCTCTGCTCACATTCTTTCATTTCGTCTCCATGTTCCAATTCAAAGAAAATAGACTATCATGTTATTTTCCTTTTTTAATAAAAACTAGGAAAGAAACTGGTGCTTGAAAGAATTGTTCATAAATTATTATAGTCAAAAGGAATAAGATTGAAAAACTTATATTCAACTACAGTAAACAGAAAGACTGAAAACAAGACTGTTATAGCAAGGATACGTAAAGATGTGAACTCTTTCAGATTTAATGACTTCAGAGATGGATTATTTTCTACAGAATTATCTTCATAAAACCAATGCGCATACTCCACAAGAAACAAGATCCTTTCAAATGACTGAAGATCTTCCTTTGGCACATTTAGCACAAATCGGCTGCAATATAAACAACACAAGAAGAACCTTCATAAGAAAAAAAAAAAAAAATAGGAAGACACAATTGTACTCAACAAAATAAAAAGTGAAGAAAGTCAAAGCAAAAGACTTTGAGTGTTACAGAGTTAAAGGACACTATCACTGTATGTCTATGACTTCATTTCAAAGATCTTCACTATTATTACAAAATAAAAATAAAAAACCTGAACGATTATTATAGCAAAAAAAAAAACACTATTATTATGCTTATAGAGAGTAATCCATAATTAAGCAGTTGCAAAATGAACCTTTTTAAGTTCAACAGACAATATCCAGCAGAACCTTCTCTTTCAAAAATTGTATAGGAGTGTACCAAGTAAGAATAATATACTCATTCAGCAACTGAAAAGAAACCATCATCTACAGCTTGAAGCTTAATTTACTATCATATATTCTTACAACCCAAAATTACATTGATGAGGGAATGCACAAAATCATCCGAAAACTCCATGCCCATACATTTATTAAATAATAATAATCACGCTATAATGTGTTTTAGGTCCTTAATTTTTGGTTAAAATTGTCTTTAGTCCCTATACAATAAAAATGGTGATAAGACCAACTGAAAATTAAGGAAACTGTTCTGACCTCAAGTCCACTGCACCTAAGGTACGCCCATTTTGGCACTCATGGACTTCACAGTTTTGTACTAAAAAAATGCCTCTATGAGTTAAGACAGGATTTTGTCCTTAAAAGGTGTCTTAGTGGATTAAGAGAAAGCAGGGTGTTGATAAATTACTCTAGCCTCGACTCATACATGATATGGTACTTTCTCGCACACTGAAAGATAAACTAAAAAACATTTTATCCTAATAATAATAATTGAAGATCTCACATCAATTAATTATATGACCAAATTAGTGTATATAAGTGCAGAGAAATCCACAACTTCTAAGTCAGTTTTGTAGAGTTAAGTTAGATTCCAATCCATTTCTTAAAATGGTATCAGAGCATATCCTAACAATTCTTGTTGGGCATATCAGACCACCTCATTATTGGGCATTATACAACTACCGCAGATGTTCAGTCATACAAACTTCACGTTCGAGATATCTAATCCTCAACATGAAAGGTGTGTTGAACATCCTATGTCGACTAATAGTATGGTCAAAATTAGTGAGTGAGAAGAAACTTTCACCTTTCAAGCCAAATTTGTAAGGCTAAGTTAGATTTCAATACAATTTCTTAAGAATAATAATATTTTTTGGTATAACCAAGAGGAATTTGGGACTTCCATGAGGCACCCAACTAATCCCCTTTCTCACCAAATACAAATAATTTTATCTCATAACTCCAATTGCAACCTCATTCTCAAGTCAAAGATCGATCCTAAATCCTTATGTTATAAAAAAAATTCAAGTATCCAACCACTTGTACAAACTACATATACAAACCACAATGATACTAATCATAATTTTCATCAACAGTCACCAGCTGACAGTACTATCAGTTCTTTAGGTAAGAGAATACTATTAATGAGAAGCATAAAGCGCAATATTTCTAATGTGGGTAAAGAAAACAGAAAACAGAACAATTGAAGGTTTAAAAAACAAAACAGAAGAAACAAAAAGGTTCCTAACTTTCATTGCCCTAATTTTCTGCATTTTTCTGGAAAACCAAACAGAGAAGCGAGGAAAGAAAAATGAGAGACCTGCAGAGATCATCAAGGAGTTCTTGAGGTGGAAGACCGTTCTTAGAGGAAGAACGGTGATGATTAGACATCGCTGCCCAGTGCCAATTATCAAACCCTAAAAAAAAAAATGCACAAAATGGAAAAGCCTCTTCAACAATTTTCTATCAGTTCTTTTCCCTCTCTTTTCTTATTGAACACCGGAAAGAAAACCACTATCGGCTCTCCCCCGAACCGGATCTGATCTTAATCGCCTTGAATATTGAGACCCGTCACTCAAGTTCCACCAAAACCATTTCTCAATTGAAGTTTAAATTATGATGACATTTTTGCGGAATTTCACCCTTAATCTAAATTTATTTATGTATTTTTTTACAGTAAATTTATTTATGTTAATGCATTCGTTTGAAAACTAATTAGTTTATTTAATATTTTTGTGCTACTTTCTGCTTATAAATTATTAGGAATTTTTTTACATAAATATAAAATGTATAGGATTTTTTATAAATATATACACTCTAATTATTTATATTACAAGTAGAATTTTAGGATCAAATCATTGGTAGAGGATTAAGATAACAAATATGCATAAATAGTATTATTATTATTGTAATTTTTTATTGAAATAAATCATTACAAGTATATAAAAAAAATTTAATCAAGTATAAATTTCATATAACTAGTCAAATAAAATTATTTCATAAATAATTATTTATAAAAATAAATAAACAAATCATGCAAATGGATGAAAAAATGAGTGAAAGAAACTACACTAGAAACATCATGAAAATAAGCCAAAAAAAATGAAAATATAAAAGGGAAAAAACAATATTTTAATATGTATATTTAACATAATGCTTTTATAATATTTTTTTAATATATAATGTAAATTTAAATTTTAAAATTAACTATTTAAATTATAATATAAAATTATTTTAATTGTCAATAATTATTTTTTAAAAAATTATTAAAATTTAATATAAAAATAGATTCAGAAGAAATATATCAAAAGATATGAAAAACTAATACACATAAGAATAATATTTAAAAATAAATAAATAATAATAATAATAATAATAAATAAATAAATAAACTTACTAGGTTAATCAACTAAATACTTTGTTCATAAAAAGATATAATTCTTTTTTGTTAAGTTGCCTCCTATAAAAATAAAATGATATCTCAAGTCATAGCTCAAAAGATTGTGACCGTTTTATTAACCTTTATAATAATTAAATTAACCAACATTATTTATCACAAATAATAATAATTTATGTCTCTTAACTTAATTGTCTAAGATTTAAATCATAACTTTATATATAGAATGAATTATATTGAAAGAAAAATGCATACTTTATATGCGTTCACAATCTTTCAATGAAAATGAGTCATTATTTTCAAATAATAAATATTTCGTATCAATATTATAATTGACAAAAGAAAAAACTTATAAAATCATTTTGCTCCCCCTCTACTCATGATAAAATATTTTTTTCTATTATTTTAAAACATTTTTTTATTAAACATAAATACATTAAAATTGTTGAATTACAAAGGAGCTATAACTTCCCTATGTTACTGCAACGCGTGTAAAATACAAGGCGAGACGCAAAACAAACGCTGGTAGCCTACTTCCCTTTGTTACTGCAGCCTAAAATAGTTTGACTCGTTACATAACTGAAGTGGTTCATAACAATCTTGATAAGGCGCAATAAGTTTGCATAAACTTGTGGAAACTCATTAACACTAGTATAAACTTGCTATCTAAGATTCTAAATCATTGCAAGTCTAAATTAATGCTATGTTGCATTAAGTAACCCCCACTTCCTAACTTCATGTTGTGCCATGTAAATTACGTGGAAAGTTACCATCTCAGCGTTTTGAGAATATAAACATCACAACTAAAGTTTTCAAGTTCATGCCTTGAATTGAAGAGCAGCAACATTTCAAAGGATCAAAAAAGCCCTAGAATAAGATTTGCTACAATCATGGCCATCAATCCTCAAAAGTTATATGCCATATATAAATAGCTAAAACCCTTTTTTGCTGCTTCTATTTGGAGGCCAGTGTCCAGAAATTCAAAATAAATGAGGGCGAAGCAGCAAACCAACTCATAAATGCCATTGCTGTTGCTGTCTCAAACCTGCTGCAATGGTTCTGTGCACAATCATTCAAATCATTGCCAATGAGAACTGTGATACCAGCAGACGCACAGGCTGCAGAAAATGTAAGTGTGGAAGTAATCTGCAGCAGAATTCACAGGAGATAAACTTAGTTTCATGGATAAATAGATTATGAGAAAAACACCATATATGAGTGTCTCTACATTACTTTTAGAGTTGTTATTCATACAATGATTTATAGAACAATATTTTTTCTCTCCATCACATAATTACATTTGATACTTTTGTCTCACCTCTCTCTTTTTACAAGTTAATTATACAAGCTAACAAAGTTTACCAGCATTGTCTTACCCCATCACTGATAGAGAATAATCGGACAATTCTTACGTTACAAGTTAATTATACAAGCTAACAAAGTTTACCAGCATTGTCTTACCCCATCACTGATAGAGAATAATCGGACAATTCTTACGTTACAAGTTAATTATACAAGCTAACAAAGTTTACCAGCATTGTCTTACCCCATCACCGATAGAGAATAATCGGACAATTCTCACATTTCGGTATCCACGCCTTACTAAAATGGCATATATATCAGCAACTGCCAAAGAGAGGCTCCACAAGCTTTGCAGGCTGACAGCAGCAACTAGGTAGCTGGTACAACAAACACAACAAAACTGGTTATGCTATGTTGAAAATGAAGATTCAGAATATGACATCAACAAATCCTAATGCTCTGATCACCTTTGCAAACATTACAGTAAAGATACACAAATTTCATGAAGTGCAGTTGCCCCACAAATTGGAATACGACTTAGTGCAGTTCATATAATGAAGTGTCTTCATATGCTCTCAAATATTATTTTCATTCCAAGTCTTGGATTTAAGACTCCTGATTCATAGTGTACATAGTCTTCTTAGACAAAAATTATTCCTTCCAAAAAGATCAGAGGCAAAAGCTTGAACAGATCACCAGTTGTATCTTTATATGACGAAATTTGTATAACTTCTAACACATGTAAATACTAAATAAAGCACTAAATCACACCTTTATATTATTAGACTATTTGATTTGCAACTTCAAAAATATGTAAGGAGATTCCAAAACAAGAGGCATTTCACTTAAAAGTTAAAACAACGATCACCAAGCCTTATGCCCCTAAGTGAGGTTGGGCAAAAGTATCCAACAATGCCATTAAGTTTCATTGAAAAACAGATTTTCAGAAAGCATATCTAGATCAAGGTCTTTTTAATGGTTTCTCCTAATGTTATCTTTAGTTTCCCTCTACCTCTTTTAATTGGACTATATTCCATTTGATCCACTTTCCACACCGGCACCACAGTTGATCTTCTCCTTGCATGACCAAACCACCTTAAGCATGTTTACATCACACTCCCCTCATTAGATGCTACTCCACCTCTCTCCCAAATATATTCCGCTAGAATCTAATCATTTCCTGAATGTACGCACAACCACCATAGGCATGTAGAAGAGCTCAATACAGAACATTAGAGAAAAGGCAAAGACGAAGAAAAATCCTTAGTAAACAATCCCAACCAACCATCTAGATGATAAGTCAGAAGACAGTAACTTTAGACTACTCAAGAGAAGATAAAACATAAATAGAAAATAAATTTCTAAGGGCTTGCATGAGTGACTTTGGTTGAAGCCTAGGTTTCCCAATTCACACCCATTTCACTCGAGACTGAATTTTCTGCTGCTACTAAGTTGCTAAAATGAGCAGTGAGAGTATTGAGGGAAAGATGACAAAAATCGGTTGAAGGTGGTTTTGACACATAAAAAGAAAACCAATGAAGAAAGTAGCTTACGAAGCTCTTTCTTATAAAAAGGAGGAGACGGGAGATTAAGAGGGAAACCGAAAGTTGTTAAGACAGATCTCATTATAAGTAATATCTTTAAAACTCTGGTATTTAACTGAGCCAAATTTCGTCATATGATTCATATAGCAAGTACTAAAATAAGACTTTTGTTCTTGTAGTAGTAGTATTAAGATGCTAAAGAAAATATAGAGCAAAGTAAGCACTAATTTAACCATTCTATCACTGAAAAATCATTGAAATCTAGTAACTAACTAAAACAATTCTCACACCTGTTAGACGAACAAAGTCCCAATTTTCCCTCACAACAAAGTCCTAACTATTTAAACAATTAAAAGAGAGTTTACGAAGGGAAATAATTTCTTTCCAATATCTGTTTGGATAAACTTTTTCAGAAGCATTTCAAAGATAAAAAAATATATATATAAAAAAAAAAAATGAAAAGAAACTTTTCCATAAACTAAAAGTATCTTATGCATATGTTAAAAAAAAGATTTTGTAGAAGTTTTCAAGGAAGAACTTCTAAAAATTAGCTTAAATTAAGTTATACACAAGCTGATTCTAGTTTATCGAGATATTTTTTTTTTATCAGAAAAAATTTATCCAAACAAACTCTAAACTTTTCTTTTTTATCAGAATTACAATTACAGCATCAGAGTTCGAAATTAATACCAGCAAATCCTACTCCAATTCCCACCACCAGACCGACCCTAAATTGATTAAATGTTTGGTAAAAGTAGAGAAGCTCATTTAATTGCCCCCTTCATGAAACCCATTTAACAAAACCAGGGGGTGCTGTTTTGAACACGAGAACACAACCCAATGAACAATTACTTATCACAGAGCCAATTAAAGAGACATGCTTAACTCAAAGAGAACATGAATTAATCAGTACCGGAAGGCGGTGACGGAAGGGAAATCGGAGGTGGTGGCCATGACGGAGAGGGAAACGACGGCGAAGGAGAACTGAAGGAAGCGGAGGAGGAAGCCGCCGAGGGTGCCGGGCATGCCCTGCGTGTCCTTCAAAGTGTGTCTGGGCATGGCAATTGCATGGTCGGTCACCGGTGGCGCTTCAATAGGGTGAACCGAAGGGTGAACCATCGACAACGACATGCCAATTGCATGCAAGGAACACTACCACCACCAACAACAACAATTGGATCAACAAAATCCGAGGGTTTCTGCCTCTACAGTTTTTGCTTTACTACTCCATACGCTGCCCCTGCTTTCTCACTTTTTTTGTCTTCCAATCTAACTTTCTTTTTTATCTTCCACCACATTCCTTTCTTTTCTTTTTTTACTTTTTTTTTTTCTTCCCTCTGTTATAGAGTAGACAGTCAACGTTTAGTGAGCGTGCCGTGGCATGTCAAACTAAGAGAATATTAAATAAATATTTAAAGTAGGTACTTGTTCATTTCCCTCTAATCAATAGGAAAATTTGATATAACTTCTTTAAAGGTGTGTCAAGATAACATCTACTTCCTTTATTTTTAATTAGTTAACATTTATCTTTTCTATTTTAGCTCTCACATATTATTTTTTTTTATATAATGTTAGTTTATTTACATGTTAAAATTCATTCTCTTTTAATATTTGAATTTATTTATATGATTGAAAAAGTGTATAGTTCATTAGTGTATATTTATGTTCTTGGCTTCATTCTATTGTAACATAATACAAATATCAAAAGAATGTTATTTTATGAGTGAACTATATAAAGGCACAAGTGATTAATTATTTCCATTTCAAAATCTTGTCAATGATATTAATCACCTACAATTAAGTTCAAGAAATTTAAATAACTTTAGATGTATTAATTAATAATGTGACTTAGTAGTCGTAGTTCCTTTGTCAAAACCACCAAAAGAGTAATTATGCAACATTTATGAAACTATCACTCTAGTTTGAACTAGCTCATTATCTTGGTTCTTCACCATAGTGATCCGAGTTTTCTTAAGAACCACTTGTCTATGACTAACCCACCTATTATCAGAAATAGGATAAATAATCCCTACTACAAGAAGTTTCATGACCTCCTTCGTCACCACATCTAAAATGGTAGGATTTAGTCATCTTTAAGGCTATCTCATAAGTCGAAACTCATCCTCCAGCAAAATCTGATGCATACATATGGTAGGACTAATCTTAGGAAGGTTAGCAAGAGTTCAGTTAATGGTTTTCCTGATGGAACCAACTTCTCCATGAGGGCTAGTGGTTGATTCCTTCTCTTCTCCAAGGATGATTTGACGTGAAGGATGATCTCTTCAAGGGTATGGAAGTGGTGGAGATAGTGTTTAGGGAGGTGGAGGGTGACGCTCAAAATGGAGGAGAGGAAGGGGAGGTGTTTGGTGGTGTAGCTCCTTCAAGCTAGCTCACTTCACTTAAGATGATGAAGGCCAACCAAGGAAGACCCAAGCTCATTCAAGGAAGAAAGGACAGGATAGGGGGTTGTGGAGTTCCTAAGGGACTAAGGAAGGAATGAAGAGGCACTAGGCTCACTCAATATCATTAATTTTCAAAGTGGCTACATGGTGGGTAACCTAGAGTACTTATAGAGAGAGAAAGGCATCTAGGGTTTCTTGGGAGCATTTGGCCAAAAATTCCAAGTCCAAATGCATCCTAGATGAGCCCTAAATGCAGCCCAAATGAAATGGCTCTCATCTCTCCTTAAAGATTAAAGTACCCTTAGGTCTAGAAAAAGAAAGAAATGGACTTTGACCTTATAAAATAAGATTTAAGTCCTAAAATAAATCTAAGACTAATTTTTCCCCATAATACAAAGGCTAAATAAAAATACAAAATAAAATCCTAATATCTAATGTGCCCCAAAATAAAGGGGAAAAATAGGGAAAGAAAGCAACAGACTAAGGACAGGGCTCGAAATCCACACACATGATGATCATGGCTTTTGGTGTGGTGTGTTCTTCATCTTCCTCTACTCTCCTAGCCATGGACCTTATGATAGGCCCTATATGATGCTTCAAGGATGGTCCTCCATCATTTCCTATGGTCTCTCAAAACCTACAACAATCTCTTCTCTTGGTTAAATTTGAGACTATTGGCTATAATGGTTGGAAACCTATAATCAAGTTACTTGAATGATCTTTCAATGTCTTTGATATGTGTCATACATCAATCTGATAAGAACATTTTCATATTACTTATACGCTTTTTTATAAGAAAAATATTTTAAGAAGTATTGAAAAAGTTTCTACTTTTTATTCAATGTTAAAAATGACAAATTTTCCAAAGAGAAATATCTTTGAAAGATGATAGATTGTCTAAAATAAGGGAAGATTTTAAAAATCCTTTCATCTTATCAAAGCAACATGTTTTTCAAAGAACAAAGAAGAACGAACATTTCAAAAATACAAAAACATGTTTGTCACCATCAAAAAGGGGGAGATTGTTAGGTCAAAATACAATCCCCTAATCTTGGAGTTTTAATGCTAATAAACAAAGTGTTTTTATAGAAAGGAAATGTTTACCAAAATGTCTTTGAAACTTATCTTTAAAAGGCTTATTAGATGAAGTGTAAGATGCAAATAATTTGGAAGACGATTACTAATCAAACAAAACATGTAGTTTATCTCATATACATTAAATATTTATCATTTATTAAGACTAATGATAAAGTTCACTTTCAATATTTCATTCCTTAACAGATCGAATCAAAAGACTGTCTTGAAACTCACAAATCTATTAAAGAGAAAAATCATGCTTTTTGCCAGAACTAAATCTCAAAAATCATGGAGAAAAATATATAAAGTCACTACAATAACTACTCTAAGCTGACATTGCTTTTGAAAGCTCCGTTTGGTATGGAAAGTTGATAAGTATCCTCCTTGATCAAATAAGCGGTACTATTTGGTGAAATGCATTTAATGCTCATATTAAATGTGTCAAATGGTTACCTGCCAACACAAGGAAGACGATGAAGACAGATGAAGAAAACTTGTGAGTTGAACTCAAAGTGTTGTAATGGTCATCTTCTCCAAAGCTACTATATAAGAAGTTTTGAAGATCAAGACAATATAAAGCTTATCATTTGAAATACAATAATATTCACAGACACATTTTTTTGTATAACTTTTGTCTTGTAGAAAAATATTTGTACCAAAACACTATTGCATTCACGTCTTATAGAGACAATTATAACAACCTTGTAATACCTTGATAACTAGAGCCTGGGGAGGGTTAACTATAAAAGAATAATTAGGTAGTGGCTTAAGGAGGCCAGCCAAAGAACACTTGTTGTTGAGCTTGGCGAGACTTGTTGTTAAAAGAATACTTGGGTAGTGATTTGAAGAAGCTAGTCAAAGAACACTTGTCGTAAAGTCAAAAGTGGCTTATGAAAGAATACTTGGGTAGTGATTTGAAGAAGCTAGTCAAAGAACACTTGACGTAGAGTCAAAAGTGGCTTAAGAAAGAATACTTGTAACTTTGAGAAAATTATTGGAACTCAATCTAGTTGGATTAAGAACTGGACGTATTCTTTGTGAGTGAGACAAATCAATATAAAAACACTCAATGTTCTGTCTATTCTTTTGTTTACTTTTCAGCACTTCATCTATTGTAGATAATACTTCACTTTCTTGTAAAAAGTGTGAGTTTTTAATGTTCATTATTCAATTCCCCTTTTAATGGCTATCTTTTCTCCACACATTCATATTCTACTAAAACTACATGTTGTTGCCAGCCATCTATTACATCATTTCCTCAAATGAAAGACTATTATTTTGCACAAAAGGAGGAGGAGGTTGTTGTTGTTGTTACTATTTCTTGAATGGAGGCTGAATGGAATGGTATATGTTGTTATTGTTACAGGTTTTGCCCCTGTTTCAAGTTTGGATGATCTCTCCAACAAGAGTTGTATGGATTATGATTTTGTTACTACTATGGAGGTTTGTATTGCTAGCTAATGCACATTTCAAAAACATTAGCATTTGTTTCTTTTAGAGTAGGACATGCATCTGAGGATGTTCTTTGGAAGCACAATGCCATACATTCTTGTTGGAAAGTTGATTACTACACCTACCTATTGTTGTTGGCCAATTGGTAAATGCCTCACCATGGTAGTTAGCTCATTCAACTTATTTTCCAACCTTTGATTATTTACATCAGAAACAACACCAACACCAATTGCCAACTCATTTACTCCCCTAAAAGCTCCTTTGAATCCAAATTGTTGACTATTGGCTACCATGTTTATAATGAGTTGTCTTGTAGCAGGTGGTGTCTTATCCATCAAATACTCTTCCGTTGGTTGCATGAATCATGCTCCTATCCATCAATATCAATCCCTCATAGAAATATTATAGAAAAAATTACTCACTAATTTGGTGATGAGTACAAGTGGAACACAACTTGTTGAATCTCTCCCAATAGTCATACAAAGTCTCACCATTTTGCTGCCGTATTTCACAAATCTTTTTTCTAATTACTGTAGTTTTAGAGGCAGGGAAATTTTTTTCAAGGAATAATTTATTCATCTTATTCCATGTAGTGATGGTAGTTGGTAAAAAGTAAAAAAAAAATCTTTTCTAGCACCATCCAAAGAGAAAGGAAATTCCTTCATTTTCACATTATCTTTTGGCACACCTTGAGGACTCATGGTGGAACACACTATATGGAACTCCTTTAAATGCTTATGAGGATCTTCACCTACAAGTCCCGTTGATTCTGAAGCCTTTTTGAAGATTTAGTTTTAGTTTTGATGTAACTTTGTTTAAGTTTGCTTCATTTTATATTTTTGGCCTGTTAAAAGGATATTGTATTGGTTGTTTCATAAGACTTAGCACTCCTCCTTAGAGCTCTTATTTTTTTCTCTCCTCTTTTCTCACGCCTTTCGAATACCAATTCTGCTAACTCCTTCTTAACATTCCCTCGGGTTGGGTCAACCAACTCATTTCACTTTCTGACCCATTTCTCTTTTCCCCCCAAATAATCAAATAATAAATAAGTATAATACAAATACTTTTTCCCCAATAATAAAAAATTATTTTTGACCCAAAATATAATAATATAATTTTGATATCAAAATATCCTATAAAATTAATCTTTTAAATTTTATAATAAAAATATATAATTAATTTAATTATAAAAATATAGGGGGTTGCATCCCATCTCAGCTCCTAAATTATATTTTAAAACATATAAATAATTATTTAAAATGCTAATAAAAATATTTATTTAATATATACACAATAATTATTCAAAACGTACAAAATAATATTCCCCTATAATAATAAAAATAATTATGACCAAATACCATATAATAATAATATTTTTGAAAAATGGGGTGTTATAATAGTTATATCTAGGTTTCATATAGTAGTTACATGAAAAATGTGGAGTCATGGATTTCTTAAAATTAAGTTTCTTCCAATCAACTTTTTCATTTTCTTTAAATTTTAATGCAATATACAGATTTTTACAATTTACACAAGGCAATTTCAACTTACTAACTTCAATTGTTAAAATCTCATTTTCTTTTTCTAAAGAAGACACTTTCAATTCCAATTCTTTTATTTTGCCTTCATAGATTTTATTCAGAATTCCCATCTTTTTAGCTTCAACATATAACTCAGAAAATGCGTCTTGTAATTGATTATATGAACAAGTGGATGAATCCGAATCACTTACCTCATGATCTGATTCATGCTTAATCATAAGACAAAGATTAGCCCCTTGCTCTTGTTCACTATCACTGGAGGTTGTAGAAGCATTATCGTCCCAAGCTATGTATGCTTTCTTCTTTTTGGATCTGAATTTTGACTTCTTTTCCTCATTTCCTTGCTTTTCCAAGTTGGTTCAGTCAACCTTCATATGACCAGCTTTCCCACACTCAAAACATGTGAATTTTGGAGAGAATTTGTCACTTTTCTTAAAGAATTTCTTCTGACTTGATGGTTTCTTCTTGAAGTTCCTTTTCTTCATAAACCTTCAAAAATTTCTTACCATTAAGTTCAGTTCTTCACTTTTTGATTTTTCTTCATTCTTGCTGCATTTGTCTTCACTTGAGGAGTCTTCCATTTTCAAAGTCAAACCTTTAACTTTCTTATCTTTTTGTTCTTCCTCAACCATCCTTGTCATATTCATCTCATATTCTCTTAGCTTACCAAACAACTCAACACTTGTCATTTGAGCTAGATTCTTAGATTCAGTAATGGTTGTCATAGTAGGTTTATATCTCCTATTGAGTGACTTTAGAGCTTTTACATTTACTTCTTCTTCATCAAAGATCTTCCCAAGTCCTTTTAAGTGATTAATGATATGAGTGATCCTCTTATGCATGTCCATGATTGTTTCTCCTTAAGTCATTCTAAAAGTCTCATATTGTTGGATGAGAGTGTTCTTTCTAACGTCTAACTTTTGGAGTACCTTCGTGAGTGACTTGTATCAAGTCCCATTCTTCCTTAGCTATAGAACAAGATGGAATTCTAAAGAATTCATCAGAGTTTAATGTAGAATGTATTATGTTTAAAGCTTTCGCATCATTTTCAACTCTTCTTACTTCATTTGGTTCCCAACTATCAAAAGGTTTGTCAACTATTTTCCCTTCTATGGTTACAGTAGGAACTTTGTAATCTATAATTATAGCTTTCCAAATACTTCTATGAATAGATTCCATGAAAATTTTCATCTTCACTTTCCAAAATGGATAGTTATCATCACAAAAGAGAGAGGTCTATTTATAGAGGCACCTTCAGTAAAAGGTAATTGATTACCGACCATTATAAGGGTTTTTCTAAAGGATCTAACTTGAGTAATTATCAAAGTTGAGATCTGATACCAATTGTTGGTCTGTAGAACACGAATCTAGAAGGGAGGTTGAATAAATTCTACACTTAGATGGCTTCCTATGGTCTTTAAAATCTTGTTCTTATTCTTTTCTTTCTTATCCCAATTACAATTAATCAAATTCATATTACAAATCAGTAATAAGATACAAAATATCAGATATGACATGTAGCGGATCAAATACTCGTAATCCAAATGAATTTTTGAAATTACCTTCTTTCTTTTATTATTACCAAATTGCATATATGATGAACTGAATATGAATAACAATTGATAACAGATAAAGAAACATTTTCTTGAAATTCTTTTTAACAAATATCACAAGATGATAACAAAATTATATCAAGAGATGAAGGTTAAGAGAGAATTACACAATGATCTATATTAATTCAGCTATACAAGGGCCTACATCCAATTTTTAACTTAGCACACAACTAAATCAAATCATTGCACTATAATATTCTTTACATACACCATGTAAAAGCAATATTACAATCAGAATGAAAATCATACATAATCTTGAATCCACAAGATTTCACAAACAAAGATTCCTACACCTCACAAGAACTTACTTGAAAAAAAACTAGTCTCAAGATTTCTCTTAACTCTTCTAGAGACACCCTATCTCAAAGAGTAACATAGACCAAAAGCACAAACAACGATTTAAGATAAGAGAGAATACACATGATATGTGTAGAATGATCTTGTACAGAGATTAGCTCAAAAAAATCCTTGAAATCTTTCAAGAACTCATCTTCTTCAATCAATCTTTAGCCTTTACATTCTTTTTGAAAAGTTTTTGATTTTATCTTGTTCTAAAACATTTTTCAAAGTATTATATGATCTTTTTTTAAAATTTTTTTGAAAAGAGTTATATTTGTAGTGCAAAAAGGATTTTAGCATTTAAATTTTTTTGTAACTGTTGTAATCTATTTACCTATGAAGGTAATCTATTACTGGATTTTTAAAACGGAAACAACATTGATATTAGCATAGGCATAATCGATTACCAAACATGGTAATTAATTAATCTGTGCTTCTTAGTAAGCATAAAACTCAATTTGTACAGAGGTAATCAATTACTAGAATGGGGAATTAAATAACCCGATACTAAAAACACTTGTTTCACTCAAAAGTCATCATGGTAATTTATTACCATAGATGGTAATCAATTAAAATAGTGATAACTACAAGTTTCAATTCAAATACTAAGTTTCAGTAATCTATTACCTGAAATGAAAATTTACTACCTCACTTAACATTGAATTCTTTTGAATGATTCAAGTTTTATTTAATGTTAAAACACTTTCTAATCTATTACCAAAACTTGATAATCTATTACATTATGTTTTTACATAAAATGAGAAACATTGAAATATGTTTACTAAAAAAACAAGATAAGTTTTGAAAACAAACCACATAACAAGCAAACACATACATGCCTAAGTCTTATGAAACAACCAATACAATATCCTTTTAACATAGGCCAAAAATATAAAATGAAGCAAACTTAAACAAAGTTACATCAAAACTAAAAGGGGGATTCACATAGCATCATAACTAGTCGGATTTACACAATCAGGTACGGGGGAAAAGAGGGTCTTCATATGCATAGTCACAAGAGGGAATGAGTAGAGGAAGAGTTCCCTAGGATTCTTAGAAATTTTCTAATTATTTTTGTTTGCATGTTTAATAATTCAAATGATTTCTGTGTGAATCTATACTGGTATTTCTAGTATTAATTATTGTAACTTTTATTCTGGATGATGGATTGGATTGATTGAAATGTGCCTGTGAGTTAGGGTTCATGAAGAATTGGGGATTCTAGAATTGATGCATGTTTCTATGAAATTGATGTGTTATGATGTGTTTTCGAGTAATTGTGATGAGTTCTGACCGATTAGAATATAAAATAATGTTGTTTGATGAATGACGAATTATGAGATGTCTATTCGTATTTCTAAAATTATAATCAGATGAAGTGTGTGTGATGGATGACCTATGTGTTGCTATCACTACTAGAAAAGTGGTGTTTAACATTGCTATATCTACATCGGTTGTAGTAGAAACGATGTAAATGAAAAACGCGGTGGCAATCTCATAAATAAATAGAAAATGCAAACATATTTACATCGGTTGGGTGGAGAAACGATGTAAATATGAACAATTCTACATCGGTTTTATTATTGACCGGTAGAAATGAAATCAAGAAGTTATTCTACATCGGGTTTGCTTTTGACCGATGTAGAAGTCAGACCCAAATACGCCCCCCATGTAAACACCCCATGGAAAGCATACCCTTTCAACACAGCGTTCCCAGCCCGCCATGAGCAACCACGGAAACCCTCGACTAAGTTCTCAGCCATCTTATCTTCTCTTCTTTCGCACACTCTTCTTAGCCGTCTTCTCCTTCTTTCGCGCACTCTTCTCATCAAACCCTTTTTCTCTTATCCATCTTCGACGAACAACATTAGGTAAACTGAGCTATTTTTGTTGTTTATCTTAGTTTTTTATTGTTTGTTGTTGCCTTTCTCATGAGTGTACAAATGCGTGTTGGTGCTTCAAATTCATAGATGCTCTTAGAGGAGCTCTCTGAAACGCGGTGGTCCTCTTGGTCAAGTTCGTCATCGAAGGCAGCA